TATATATACTCTTAACTAGGAGCTACATGGCGATGTCTTATAAGACCTCCAAAATATGTTGACTTTGCAAGACACATATCTTAAATTGCAAGGCAAGTTTTCTATATATATGCCACATAATTAGCTTGTTCCACAAGCTATTAACATGTAGTTAATTTATTGACAAAATTTCTAACTTATCTATCAACTACAAATACATGTAAAGTTAAAGTAACATCTATGAAGCTTTTAAGAAGCTTATCTAAAAAATATTATAAAATAAATCTATTTTTATCTACTTCTATTTAATCATATAATTAAATATTAAAATAAATATATATGTCCATGACATTATCCTCCCTTTTAGTGACGAGTTCTATGAAGAGGGGTAATCATATGTTAAAAAAATCTAAGATGTGGCAAATTGTGTTTGCCACATACTATTATTTTTGTTCTCTTCAAAAATAGTTAATAGGTCTTTTTAGCCATTGATGGTATCTCATACCATAGCAAGAAGATCACCCTTTTATTTGATTGTTGTTGAGGTCTTCCTAACTCTCTTTAAATAAAATATTTGAAACATTGTTAGAAGTTATTTTTACTTCTAATAAAATCATCAAACATTGGAAGTGTCTTCTAAAATTATGATGTCAAACACGTTGTAACTTGCCATCTATTAGAGGAAGGACATGTCATTCATGAGAATCATCTTGATTATATTGTTTTTAAGGTTATGGCAATTGTAATGTCTCATTTAGTAAGTCAATAAGTCATAGCTCTTGAGTTGAATTAATTGGTTTTTGGTTCTCCATCTCTTTAGTATCACAAATATACAAAAGTTGTAAATAAGAGTAGAAGATAGAATGCTATCTTCTCTAAATCTTATTTCTTTTATAACAAAAATTTGCTATTTTTCATCTTGATTTTGATGGATTTCATTGATAAAAAGCTTCAACCTTCTTTGAGACATTTGTAAGATTCTTTACTAGCTTCCATGTGCATTTACTAATATTCACTATAGTATATATAGAACTTAAGTTAAATATTTGGATCATTTAAAAAAATATCTTCAAAAGAATTGAGAATATGGAATTAGACTTAATCTAATAAAATACACCTTTGCAGATACTTCAAGTACATTATTAGATCATATTGTTTGTGAAGAAGGACTATTAGTGGATCCAATAAAGATAAAAGCTATAATTTCTTTATTACGTCTAAAAAAGAAGAAAAAAAAGCATGAATTCATGGATTCTACTAATTATCAACAACTATTTATATGTAATTTTGTAAATATTTCACAACCTTTGACAAATTTAACAAAGTCTTGTATTAAATATGCATAGACCAACAAATGTCAACAAACTTTTGAGTTTTTAAAGAAAAAATTAACTACTATTTTAAGTTTAATCACACCACATTGAAATAAAAACTTTTATGTGCATTGTGATGCTTCAAATGAGGCAATTAGAAGTGTTTTGGTTCAAAATATTACCACTAAAATAGACTTACTAATTTATTATGTAAGTTGATTACTAAATCAAGTTGAACAGAGTTATACTAGAACAAAAAGAAAAGCCTTGGCAACGGTTTATTCAATTCAAATTTTTTATCATTATTTGTTGGCAAACCATTTTATATTCTATGTTAATCATCAAGCATTATTGTATTTAATTAAAAGACTATTAGTTTTAAGAAGGGCAGTAAGATAAATGTTGTTATTATAAGAATATGATTTTAAAATTATTACATCAAAACTTCTAATATAGTCTTAATCTATTATACAATAAAAAGAAGTTTTATTTATATTTAAAATAAAAATAAATAAAAATAAATAATTTATAGCTTATAATCAAATATATTTGATTCATTTTCAATTCCAATTTCTTAATCTACATCAAATATTAGTACTTAATTAGCTAATGTTTGTTTGACTAAATAATTATAAATTCAATTTTTTAATTAAAATTTATATTTTATACATCATCAATAATTATACTTAATTAAATCATCAAAAATAAATATCAAAATTTAAAACAAATTATATTTAATTAATTTTTAGAAATCATTAAAAGCATAAAATTATTAAAATTAAGAAAAATTATTAAATAATTAAAAAAATAGAAAAAAAATAGAAATAAATTTAATTTAAATGATATAGATATTATATAAATATAAAAAAAGTAAGATTTATTGTATGTAGTATTACATTGTTTTTTGATAAGATAAAAAATAATATAGAAAAATAGATATTAATATGTCATATATTATATAAGTTTGATGCTCCTATGAAATATGTTTAATCATGTTGTTCTTCATTCTAAATAAAAAAAAAAATGATTTATAAATATTTTATTTAGAAAATTATTTATAATGTTGTTATTGAAGTAGTCACTAGGCTATGGCTCATGTTTGTTTCAAACTCATCTAATTCTATAAGTTTGATGTTGCTATAAATCTAGAGTATAAATTAATAAGACATATTAAGTATATAATCTTAACTCAAGTATTCATGTATAATTAGAATTAAAATACAAATAATATTATAATAATATTTATTATTTTTACATTAATCCATTTAAAATTTATTTTTTACCTTACTTTAATTTCATCATCAAAATTTTGGTTGATAAGTATAAATTAGATAAATGTTTATTTTACATCAAAAACATAAATAAAATGACAAAATATTTAGTTTCATGATAATATTTTGTAAAGCTATTCTAGCTTTAGCTTATATATTATAAATCAATTATTTAAAAAATAACCTCTATATATTAAACTTAATATCCTAAATAGTAGGCACATTAATGTAAGATGTCAAGATATTTATTGTATTTAAATAACTTACTTAGTACAAATTTATTTAAAATATTTAAAATTTTTTTTGAATTAATTAGACATGACAATCAATTGTGTATTATCTATGAAATTTGAACCTTTTATATTATTATTTTCAATAGAAAATAATATCAATTATAAGTTTTTTGGAATTAAGACCTAAAGATTTAAGATTATATAGGTATGCTAGATTACTTTAATATTTTTTTTGAAGATTTAAAAAGATGTGCAACAAATTTTTGAGGTTTGTAATTCTAACTATGAAATTAGGATGGTCTATAAGCCCTTAAATTTGAGAATATAAAAAGTTTGGCTTTTAAATTTAGGATTTTAAAAATTTGGGTTTAGTCAGCATCATTAAATCTCTCAAAAATAAGAAAATAGGTCATCTCAAAATTCTTCCTTACAAACCTTCTTTGTTTTTATATATTATAAGTTATATGTATTTGGAACTATATAGAATTATTGGTAGTATTATATGATGCTGACTATACCCAGATAAAGTTATATGTATTTGAAACTATATAGAATTATTGGTAGTATTATAGTAAACTATAACTAGAAGGGATAGCTGATATTAAAGATATATTTATTAAGACTTCTATATCTTCAAACCAAGTTTTAGATATATATATATATATATATATATATATAAACTATAAAATCTCACGAAATTATTTTTTAATTAAAAATAATTTCAATGTAATAATGATAATAAGTTGGAATTGAATAAAGACATCTTATATACGCCTTATTAATCCATAATTTTTTAAAAAAAAATTAACATAGGTCTAAATGAAGTCTACATGCTTATGGAGTATTTTTTTTAAAACTTATTGTTGAATTTAAGATATTATGGTCTTTGTAATAAAGATGAAGTTAAGAAATTACATTTAAACTTTTTTTTTTTTTTTTTTTTTTACCTAAGTTAACTATTATAAATTATATGTCAATCACATTCTTTGTCTTGATGTTTATAAAAGACCAAATTCGTAAATAAATTTAAATATATATGATTAAAATAATTATATTTGTAAAATAAAGTAACTAAATTTGGCAATCCACTTAGAAACTTCTCCATAGCCTCACATTTCAACATCTATAGTTCCTTCAAACATGTCAAGCTTCCAAATCCTTTTAGCAACTTCTTCAAATTACTACACTTTAAAAAATTCAATTCCTCCAAATCAACCAAATTTGGCAATCCATTAGAAAACTCTTCCAAAGCCTCACATTCCTTCATATTTAGTTTCTTTAAGCATGTCAAGCTTCCAAATCCTTCTGGCATCTTCTTCAAATTTCTACACTTTGAAAAATTCAATTCCTCCAAAATAACCAAATTTGGCAATCCACTTGGAAACTCCTCCATAGCCTCACATTTCCACATATTTAGTTTCTTCAAACATGTCAAGCTTCCAAACCCTTCAGGCAACTTCTTCAAATTTCTACACTTTCAAAAATTCAATTCCTCCAAAGCAACCAAATTTGGCAATCCACTTGAAAACTCCTCCATAGCCTCACATTCCCACATATATAGTTTCTTTAAGCATGTCAAGCTTCCAAACCCTTCTGGCAACTTCTTCAAATTTCTACATTGTGAAAAATACAATTTTTCCAATGTAACCAAATTTGGCAATCCACTTGGAAACTCCTCCATAGCCTCACATTCTTGCATATATAATTTCTTCAAACATGTCAAGCTTCTAAACCCTTCTGGCATCTTCTTCAAATTTCTACACTTTGAAATATCCTATTCCTCCAAAGCAACCAAATTTGGCAATCCACTTGGAAACTCCTCCATAGCCTCACATTCCCACATATATAATTTCTTCAAACATATCAAGCTTCTAAACCCTTCTGGCATCTTCTTCAAATTTCTACACTTTGAAATATCCAATTCCTCCAAAGCAACCAAATTTGGCAATCTACTTGGAAACTCTTCCAAAGCCTCACATTCCTTCATATTTAGTTTCTTTAAGCATGTCAAGCTTCCAAATCCTTTTGGCATCTTCTTTAAATTTCTACATTGTGAAAAATTTAATTCCTCTAAAGTAACCAAATTTGGCAATCCACTTGGAAACTCTTTCAAAGCCTCATTCCTTCATATCTAGTTTCTTTAAACATGTCAAGCTTTCAAACCCTTTTGGCAACTTCTTCAAATTTCTACACTTTGAAAACTTCAATTCCTCCAAAGCAATCAAATTTGGCAATCCACTTGGAAACTCCTCCATAACCTCACATTCCTACATATATAGTTTCTTCAAACATGTCAAGCTTCTAAATCCTTCTGGCAACTTCTTCAAATTTCTACATTGTGAAAAATTCAATTCTTCCAAAGCAACTAAATTTTGCAATCCACTTAGAAACTCCTCCATAGCCTCACATTCCCACATGTGTAGTTTCTTCAAATATGTCAAGCTTCCAAACCCTTCTGGCAACTTCTTTAAATTTCTACATTGTAAAAAATTTAATTCCTCCAAAGCAACCAAATTTGGCAATCCACTTGGAAACTCCTCTATAGCCTCACATTCCCACATATATAGTTTCTTCAAACATGTCAAGCTTCCAAACCCTTCTGGAAACTTTTTTAAATTTCTACATTGTAAAAATTTTAATTCCTCCAAAGCAACCAAATTTGGCAATCCACTTGGAAACTTCTCTATAGCCTCACATTCCCACACATATGGTTTCTTCAAACCTGTCAAGTTTTCAAACCCTTCTGGTAACTTCTTCAGATTTCTATATTGTGAGAAAAATAATTCTTCCAATGTAATCAAATTTGGCAATCCACTTGGAAACTCCTCCATAGCCTCACATTTCCACATATATAGTTTCTTCAAACATATCAAGTTTCCAAACCCTTCAGGCAACTTCTTTAAATTTCTACACTTTGAAATATCCAATTCCTCCAAAGCAACCAAATTTGGCAATCCACTTGGAAACTCTTCCAAAGCCTCACATTCCTTCATATTTAGTTTCTTTAAGCATGTCAAGCTTCCAAATCCTTCTGGCATCTTCTTCAAATTTCTACACTTTGAAAAATTCAATTCCTCCAAAGCAACCAAATTTGGTAATCCACTTGGAATTTCTTCCATAGCCTCACATTCCCACATATTTAGTTTCTTCAAACATGTCAAGCTTCCGAACCCTTCTAGCAACTTCTTCAAATTTCTACACTTTGAAAAATTCAATTCTTCTAAAGCAACCAAATTTGGCAATCCGCTTGGAAACTCCTCCATAGCCTCACATTCCCACATATATAATTTCTTCAAATATGTCAACCTTCCAAACCCTTCTGTCACGGACACAAAATATAGACTTAAAATCTAACAAGAAGTTCAAGAAGAAGTGGCAGAACTAGATTAAACAGATGAGTACAAGAACAACACCAGAAAGGTGAGCTAGAACTCCAAGAGGTGTGTTGTCGAGACTGAAGAACTCTTCAGCCTCGATCCCTATATATACTCCTACTTAGGAAGCTTCTCAAGCTACTTCTATTATCTAGGAAGCTTCTAGAAAGTTCCAGAGGCTTCCTTTCTAGAAACTTCTAGAAACTTCTCTTCTAGAAGGTTCCAGAGACTTCCTTTGTAGAAGCTTCTAGAAACTTCTCTCTAAAAGGTTCCAGAGGCTTCTCTTCTAGAAGGTTCCAAAGGCTTTTTTTCTAGAAGGTTCTAGAAACTTCTCTCTAGAAAGTTCTAAGAAATATGTCCCTAACATCACCCCCTCCTTTAGCTTCGAGGTCTCTGAGAAGCAATGTTATTGATCAGTACCAACGCAAGAAAATGAAGATCTGTCGCATAACTTCTGCTATGAACTCCAACTGTTGTTCACGAGGCAAGTGGTTCACCGACCCTTGAAGCCAACGGTAGTGGCCCATGCCTTCGACTTCTGACCAAGCATGAACTTCCGTGTCCTCATTGTGAAATTGTCCTGTGAACACGCCTTCTGGCTGACCATCGTAAGCAGGCTCGATCTCAAATACAATCACCAGTGATCGGTTACTCGGTATCCTCCGTCGTCGTCGTGGTACATGTAGTTCTTCATCTCGGGGTCGCCTTCGTGAGCTACTCGGTTGCGATACTCTGACTGGCATAGTATCTATCTCTTGGCTATCCATATCAAAAGACCAAACTACGATGTATCTTGGAGAAAATAACTACATCAACTATGAATTTTGCTGGTACTCTCCCCTTTTCTTATATTATTGGGAAAACAAGCTTCAGAAAGAAGCTATCGTCGAATTGATTTAGGTTTATCAGGATGTCGTTGATCAAACTCCTGTACCTTTTGTGGCGCATTCGTAAGATTTTCAGCTGGCTCCCACGTTTGCTCATTAATGTCATAGCCGCACTAATGAACAAGATATTCTAACTTTCCCCACCTTCGCCGTGAATCCAATACCTTTTCAACCTCATATTCTCCGTGGTTCTCGATTTCAATATTAGGTGGCGGACATTGCACTCTTTCAGAAAAAGATGACTCTCAATAAGGTTCCAACAGAGAAACATGAAAGACTGGATGTACCTTCATAGAAGTTGATAACTCCAACCGGTATGCCACTGGATTAATTTGCTTCTGGATGATAAATGGTCCCAATCTTCGATAATCCAACTTATCACATGGTCGCTTGGTCTTGATATTTCGTCGAAGAAGCCAGGCTTTGTCTCCAACTTTGAAAGTAGGTGCTTGATTCTGAAATCTATCTGCAGACGTCTTATAGGATTCTTGAGCGGATTGTAATTGAAGCTTCAACATAGTTTGAAGCTCTGATAATTGCTTCGCAAATCCTTCAACTGCTGGATTATTATTTGTTGACGGACTCAATAAATCAAGCTTTGGATGATACCCATAGTTGGAAAAGAATGGTGTTTGTTGAGTCGACACATGGAGGATGTTGTTATATGCAAACTCGGCTAGCGGTAGATATGCAGTCCAATCGTCTTGCTGATAGTTGATGCTGCATCATAAGTACTGCTCCAAGACTTGGTTCACCCGTTTCGTTTGGCCATCAGTTTGAGGATGAAAAGCTGAAGAAAGCTTGATATCCACCTTCAATATCCCAAAGAGAGATCTCCAAAACTTTGACACAAACTGGATACCTCAATCTGATATGATATCATCTGGTAGTCCATGATATCGATACACATTATCGAGAAAGAGTCTTGCTGTGACTTCACTGGACGATGTCTTCTTACAAGGAATAAAGTGTGCCATCTTCGTAAGCCGATCTACCACGACAAAGATGCTGTCAAATGACTTTGATGATGGCAAGTCCGTGATGAAGTCCATAGAAATTGAAGACCATGGTCGACGTGGAATTGGCAATGGCTGTAGAAGTCCATAGGAGCAATGGCGAGGATTCTTGGATCTTGAACAGATGTCACAGGAGAGGACAAAATCTTTCACATCCTTCCACATTTGGGGCCACCAAAAATCTCGGGAAATAAGCTCCAAGGTCTTGTTGAATCCAAAATGTCCCGCAGTTGGAAAATCATGGCGAGATTGAAGAACTCGGAGTCGTGCTGGTCCTTTTGGAATGTACAATCGCTCTTCAAAGTATAAAAGATCTCCCTCCACCTTGAACTTGTCGTCATTGGTATGTTGCTTGATATCAATGGCTACTGAATCTTTAATGGTCATAGCACGTACCTGGTTTAGGAAGTCAGCATCAAATGATACAATAGTAGCACAAAGTTGAAATCTCTCTGGCTTCAATAACGTTGTACATTGTTGATCAAACGTTGCTTCTCCAGATTTTGGTACAAGATACGATCTCCTTGATAAAGCATCGGATAGTCCTTGCTGCCTTCCAGGTTGATAAGTGATAACAAAATCGAATCTAGATAGCGACATATTCCACCGAGCTTGACGCCGATTTAAAACTCGAGCTGACATGAAATACTCCAAATTCTTGTGATTCGTATATACGATTACTGGATGTGCAGCTCCTTCAAGAAAGTGATGCCATTCTTCGAAAGAATCCACTATAGCAAGAAGTTCCTTATCGTGGATCTCATAATTGATTTCAGCAGCAGAGAACTTCTGAGAATAGAATGCAACTGGATGGAGCTTCTTGTCTTCACTCATTTGTGAAAGCACAGCTCCCAAAGTAAAATTTGAAGCATCAGTTTCTAAATAGAAGGCCTTTGTAAAGTCTGGATGTACCAAAATTGGAGCTGTAGTAAATACTGTCTTCAAGTCTTGAAACGCCTTCTCCGCCAAAGGTCCCCATTCCAACTTATCCTTGCATGTCAATCGAGTGAGAGGAGCAGCAACTTGAGAATAATTCTTGATGAAGATCCGATAGAAGTTAGCAAAACCAAGAAAGCATTGTACGTCTCTAACCGTCTTCGGAACCTCCCAAGACATGATTGCTTCTACTTTCTTGGGGTCCATCTTCAAACCTTCTGTAGTCGCAATGAACCCCAAAAACTCCATCTCCGTCTGGTGAAATAAACACTTTTCTAATTTGGCATATAGTCCTCGCTTGCGTAGTTTCTCCAAGACCAAACAAACATGCTTCTCATGCTCTTCCTCGTTTTTAGAGAATATTAGAATATCGTCCAAGTAGATGACAACAAAATCATCGAGGTGTTCTCGAAAGATGTCATTCATCATATGTTGAAAAACCACTGGAGTATTGGTAAGACCAAAAGGCATGACATTATATTCGAAATGACCATACCTTGTACAGAATGCTGTCTTCCACTCATCTCCTTCCTTGATTCGTACGAGATTATAAGCTCCCCTTAGATCAATTTTTGTAAAGATCTTGGCACATCCAAGTTTTTCTAAGAGACTAGAAATCAAGGGTAATGGATAACGATTTTTCTTTGTTACCTTGTTGAAGCCTTGATAGTCCACACACATCCGTAATGATCCATCTTTCTTCTTCACAAATAAGATGGGTGCTCCAGCTGATGATTTTGAATGACGAATGAAGTTCTTGGCTAGATTCTCGTCGATGTACTTTCGCAACTCTGCCAACTCCGTTTGCGATAGATTGTAGATTGGGCCAAAAGGTGGTTGTGCTCCTTCTTGTAAGTCTATGGCACAATCATATGGTCGGTGTTTCGGTAGTATGTCGGCGTTCTTCTTTTGAAACACATCTTCAAAATCTTTATATTGCTCCGATATACTTGCTGTTGAGATCTTCTCCTCGGTAGTTGGAGCCGCATAAATGACAAATGAAGTGCCTTCCTTAGATGATCTTATAAACGCTCTTGCTCTAATGAATGAGGATTTCTTTTTTCGAGGTTTTTTACTAGGTTTTTTCTTGGGTGGTTTTGTCGGAAAAGTCATCTTTTGCAACCTCCAATCTATCGATGGATTATGTTTTTCCAACCAAGAAAGACCAAGAATAATAGGATTTGATGGAGTTCTAATAATATTAAAAATAATATGACTACTATGGTCTTTAAACGTTACTTCTATAGGTTTTGATTCATGGGTGATGCTACCAGACAATAAAAGTCGCTCATCTATGACCTCAACATGAACTGGTTTTGATTTTTGTACTAAAGGGATCTTATGACGCTTTACAAATTCTTCGTCTAAAAAACAAGCAGATGCTCCTGAGTCTAGTAGTGCTAAGGTTCTCAGTTTTTGAGGGCCGATAAATAGAGGGATTGTAAAACAAAGTGCAGGTTGGGCAGAAAGAAAGGAACCTGATTGTTGTTGGGATATTTCATAGTCCAACCGCACGGTTCCTACTGTGGCTGGGCATCTTCGTTTTCCTAAACAAATACTCCCCTAGTCTTGACTATACCTCGATTTTGCTTTTTGGGGCAGTTTCCGACTTTGTGGCCTTCTCCACCGCAATACAAGCATAAATTTTCTTCCATACGTCGCTTTTTTTCTTCTATAGTAAGAGATCTGATGCGTACCGCATCAATTTGCATGTCTTCCACCTCTGAATGCGAATTCACACTACTTGCCGACATAGTTGGAGCATGGCGAATTGTATGTTGTCTTGAGCGTTGGTCTTGGCGACATTGGAATAGGCAATTATCGCACTTCACAGCTTGGCTAATGGCTTCATTGAGCGTTCATGGATCAGGAAGAGTTAACAGCAAATCCTTCACATCATCTCTTAAACCCCAATAGAATTGACTCATCAATGCTTCTTCATCCTAATTGATGTCGCATACTAATTGCCTGAAATCCGAAGCATAGACTGATGTAGAACGCATCCCCTGTCGTAGCGACCGGATCTTTGTAGTAGCCCATCGAACCTTATCGTGTTCACTAAATGCTTCCGCAAATGCTTCCAAAAAGGTTTCGAAGTTGTTTAATATGGATGATCGTTTCTCAAATAAAGGAGCAAACCATGATAGAGCTTGTCCCGTAAGTAAGGTTCCAACAAGCCCAACACATGACTCCTCCATTGGATATCGTTCGGGCTGTAAAACTATTATCAACGTGATTTGATTGACGAATCCTCGAAACTTGGAACGTGTTCCATCGAACTTATCTGGAAGGCTAACTCGAGGCTCCTTATCTTGTAGAACTAGTGATTCTTGTCGAACCTGAGGTAAAGTTGTTTCTCCAAGTGCAGAAGTTTGAGGCTGGTGTAGTTTAGATTGTGCTATCCCAGATACTCCATCATTATGAAGCCTTGCCACCACTCCTTCAATCTCTGCAGTTCTTTGTGATAACATAGCGAGGGCATTCATAATAGCATCTAACTTAGACTCCGAACTTTCTGTCATACTAATGTCTTGACCTCCGGCCATTCTAGAAGAGGGACAAAAATGACTCTACAAGAGGCAATATTGGTTTATAGGAGGGTAATCCAAAACCTATAAAATGCCTTAAGAATTTCAAGAAGAGGGGTAATCCACTCTCTCCAAGAAGAATAAGACTCCAATATTGTAACAGAAGAAGTATCAGTTTAGAGGAGGGTAATCCGCAACCTCTAAAAATACTAGTATACCTTCAAGTAGAGGGGTAATCCACACTCTACTAAGAAAGAACTAGCTCTGATATCTCAAGTTAGTGTAGTCTCGACAAATTGTCACGGACACAAAATATAGACTTGAAATCTAACAAGAAGTTCAAGAAGAAGTGGCAGAACTAGATTAAACAGATGAGTACAAGAACAACACCAGAAAGGTGAGCTAGAACTCCAAGAGGTGTGTTGTCGAGACTGAAGAATACTTCAGCCTCGATCCCTATATATACTCCTACTTAGGAAGCTTCTCAAGTTACTTCTATTATCTAGGAAGCTTCTAGAAAGTTCCAGAAGCTTTCTTTCTAGAAACTTCTAGAAACTTCTCTCTAAAAGGTTCCAGAGGCTTCTCTTCTAAAAGGTTCCAGAGGCTTGTTTTCTAGAAGGTTCTAGAAACTTCTCACTAGAAAGTTCTAAGGAATATGTCCCTAACACCTTCAGGCAACTTCTTCAAATTTCTACACTTTGAAAAATATAATTTTACCAATGTAACCAAATTTGGCAATCCACTTGGAAACTCCTCCATAGCCTCACATTCACACATGTGTAGTTTCTTCAAACATGTGAAGCTTCCAAACCCTTCTGGCATCTTCTTCAAATTTCTACACTTTGAAATATCCAATTCCTCCAAAGCAACCAAATTTAGTAATCCATTTGGAAACTCCTCCATAGCCTCACATTTCTACATATATAGTTTCTTCAAACATATCAAGCTTCCAAATCCTTCCGGCACCTTCTTCAAATTTCTACACTTTGAAATATCCAATTCCTCCAATATAACCAAATTTGGCAATCCACTTGGAAACTCCTCCATAGCCTCACATTCCCATATATATAATTTCCTCAAACATGTCCAGCTTCCAAACCCTTCTGGCAACTTCTTCAAATTTCTACATTGTGAAAAAAGTAATTCTTCCAATTTAACCAAATTTGGCAATCCACTTAGAAACTCCTCCATAGCCTCACATTCTCGCATATTTAGTTTCTTCAAACATGTCAAGATTCCTAACCCTTCTGGCATCTTCTTCAAATTTCTACACTTTGAAAAATTGAATTCCTCCAAAGCAACCAAATTTGGCAATCCACTTGGAAACTCCTCCATAGCTTCACATTCCCACATATTTAGTTTCTTTAAACATGTCAAGCTTCCAAATCCTTCGGGCAACTTCTTCAAATTACTACACTTTGAAATATCCAATTCTTCCAAAGCAATCAAATTTAACAATCCACTTGGAAACTCCTCCATAGCCTCACATTCCCACATATATAGTTTCTTTAGACATGTCAAGCTTCCGAACCCTTCTGGCAACTTCTTCAAATTTCTACACTTTGAAAAATTCAATTCCTCTAAAGCAACCACATTTGACAATCCACTTGAAAACTCCTCCATAGCCTTACATTCCCACATACATAGTTCCTTCAAACATATCAAGCTTTCAAACCCTTCTGGAATTTTTTTTAAATTTCTACATTGTATAACTTTCAATTCTTCCAAAGCAACCAAATTTGGCAATCCACTTGGAAACTTCTCTATAGCCTCACATTCCCACATATATAGTTTCTTCAAACATCTCAAGCTTCCAAACCCTTCTGGCAACTTCTTCAAATTTCTACATTGTGAAAAATATAATTCTTCCAATGTAACCAAATTTGGCAATCCACTTAGAAACTCCTCCATAGCCTCACATTCCCACATTTATAGTTTCTTCAAACATGTCAAGCTTCCAAACCCTTCTGGCAACTTCTTCAAATTTCTACATTGTGAAAAATATAATTCTTCCAATATAACCAAATTTGGCAATCCACTTGGGAACTCCTCCATAGCCTCACATTCTCGCATATATAGTTTCTTCAAACATGTCAAGCTTCCAAACCTTTCAGGCAACTTCTTCAAATTTCTACACTTAGAAATATCTAATTCTTCCAAAGCAACCAAATTTGGCAATCCACTTAGAAACTCCTCCATAGCCTCATGTTCCCACATATATAGTTTCTTCAAACGTGTCAAGTTTCCAAACCCTTCAGGCAACTTCTTTAAATTTTTATACTTTGAAATATCTAATTCTTCCAAAGCAACCAAATTTGGCAATCCACTTGGAAACTCTTCCAAAGCCTCACATTCCTTCATACTTAGTTTCTTTAAGTATGTCAAGCTTCCAAATCCTTCTGGCATCTTCTTCAAATTTCTACACTTTGAAATATCCAATTCCTCTAAAGCAACCAAATTTGGCAATCCACTTGGAAACTCTTCCAAAGCCTCACATTCCTTCATATTTAGTTTCTTCAAACATGTCAAGCTTCCAAATCCTTCAGGCAACTTCTTCAAATTTCTACACTTTGAAAAATTCAATTCCTCCAAAGCAACCAAATTTGGCAATCCACTTGGAAACTCCTCCATAGCCTCACATTCCCACATATTTAGTTTCTTCAAACATGTCAAGCTTCCAAACCCTTCAGGTAACTTCTTCAAATTTCTACACTTTAAAAAATTCAATTCCTCTAAAGCAACCAAATTTGGCAATCCACTTGGAAACTCCTCCATAGCCTCACATTCCCACATATATAGTTTCTTCAAACATCTCAAGCTTCCAAATCCTTCTGGCAACTTCTTCAAATTTCTACATTGTGAAAAATATAATTTTTCCAATGTAACCAAATTTGGCAATCTACTTGGAAACTCCTCCATAGCCTCACATTCTTGCATATATAATTTCTTCAAACATGTCAAGCTTCTAAACCCTTCTGGTATCTTCTTCAAATTTCTACACTTTGAAATATCCAATTCCTCCAAAGCAACCAAATTTGGCAATCCACTTGGAAACTCCTCCATAGCCTCACATTCCTTCATACTTAGTTTCTTTAAGCATGTCAAGCTTCCAAATCCTTCTGGCATCTTCTTCAAATTTCTACACTTTGAAAAATTCAATTCCTCCAAAGCAACCAAATTTGGCAATCCACTTGGAAACTCTTCCATAGCCTCACATTCCCACATATATAGTTTCTTCAAACATGTCAAGCTTCCAAACCCTTCTGGCAACTTCTTCAAATTTCTACACTTTGAAATATCATATTCCTCCAAAGCAACCAAATTTGGCAATCCTATTGAGAATTCTTCTATAGCCTCACATTCTTGCATATATAGTTTCTTCAAACATATCAAGCTTCCAAACCCTTCTGGCAACTTCTTCAAATTTCTACACTTTGAAAAATTCAATTCCTCCAAAGCAACCAAATTTGGCAGTCTATGTGGAAACTCCTCCAAAGCCTCACATCCATATATGTATAGTCTCGTCAAACATGTCAAGCTTCCAATTCCATTTGATATTGTCTTCAAACTATTACAAGTGATAATTTTTAATTCTTTCAAGGCGATAAGACTTGTCCATTCTTTAGGGATTACTTCTAATATGGGACAATTTTCAAGGTGAAGGGTAACCAAGAATATCATACTACCTAAGTTCGTTGTCAGTTCTTTTAACTTCATACAATTTTCCAAGTGTAGATCTATCAATGGTAATGATTTGAATGAATCATTTGGAAAAGTTTCAAGAAATTCACAATTGTCAAGGTGAAGTACTCGCATTTGACTAAGATCCTTGTGCTTAGCAATATTCCAAAACCTATCAATGTCACCTTTTTGGATTTTAACTATATGATCTTGACTTGAAAAGTGCATAATCAAACATCGAAGTTTAGAAGTTTGTTCCACAAGAGTTGAAATAAGATTAAAATCCTCACACAAGTGAAAAATTAACAAACGAAGGTTTGCATAATTCATAGTATCTACTTTTGAACCTTTTTTATACTTTAATTCTTGTTTCAGCTTTGTGAAAGACAAGCCTTGTATAGATTTTGGATCTTGCATACACAAATAAGGATTTTGAATTAAATAATTTACTTCTAATAAACAACTTATTAATATATAAATTCTTATACATAAATCAATGATATAATACTTACCTTTAGATTAAAATCATTAAATGTAGCCATATTCAAATTTTGATCTCGAGATCCTCCAAATTCTATCTTAGTGAGCCTTCGACCCATATCACGTAATTGATCATGCATGCACAAATTTCCAAAATCATCCACCACTAATAATGATTTGTCTATGAGATTGTCAAGGGCTTCTTTCAAAATTCCAACATCATCATTTAAAATACGCCAAAGTTTTTCTCTAGATACCCATCCAGGATAAGAATCATTACAAAAAAAACAAGAGACATCCAAAAATATATTTTTTTCATCAAACTTAAGATCATCAAAACTGATTTGTAATGTTTTTCAAATTTTTTCATCTTCTCTTCCATCATGTCTTGCTCGCAGTAATCTATACATATTTCGCTCCCATATTCGCAATCGTTGGTTTCCACACAAATAAATATCCATCACTTCCAAACTCAATGGAAGTCCACAACAAGCATTAACAATCTTATTGGCTATATCCATCAAATATAATAAACAAGGTTCATTGGCTGCAAAGGCATGCATGGAAAATAATTCCATTGATTGGACTCTATCAAAGATTTCCATGTCCACTTTGCCTTTTTTTGGTACATATTGTTTTAAAGAGCTCCAAGTTCGACTAGTAGCAATTAATTTACTTCCATTATCATCTTTAAACTTATCAATACTCAACAGCTCATCCAATTGACTATCACTTCTTATATCATCCAAGACAATAAGAACCTTCTTTGTTTTCCTAATATGATCTAAGATGGTTTTTCCATCTTGCAAAGCATATACTTGAAGTTGCTTGTACAATTCTTCTAACTTGTTCCTTAACATAAGCCTACATTTTCCATTCTTTAACTCATCTATAAAGCATGTTGCTTCAAACTTGAGAGAGATATGGTTACTTAAGGCCTTGGCCAATGTTGATTTGCCAATCCCACCCATTCCAATTATCCCCAAACTACCAACAATTTGTAGTTTTCTTTCCAATTCAATTAATTTCTCATCTATACCAATCAATTTCAAATTTTTGATAGTTTCTTCATTGACCTACATCAATTCACAAGATTTTATACTTGAGTACCAACAGAATTTGTATAAATATTAATATCTTTACATCACGCAAGATCTATGTGACATATTATATTACATTATGACATTTATTACAATTATAATATAACACAAAAAATAATAACACATACCTTGTTAACAACTTGATTTGGTAAATCAATTTTTTTTTTATCAACTATCAATTGTGTGGTAGGATTAATTTCTCTAATTTGAGATACAAACCATAAGCATTGAATAAAGATGGCAAAATATTGCCAAAACAAGAAAAAACATTGTTGTATAACATTGTGCAAATTTTCTTTCAAACTTATCCACCAATACTTTGAATCCAAAACAATATCAATCCATAGTGTATGCTCTTTATCTTTGAGGTCTCTACTTCTCCAAAGACCTTGGAGCAATTTTTTCTTCAACATTGTCAACCTTGTATAAATCTCAAGGAATGTAGGTCTCCTCAATGGATCCAACGACCAACAATCCTCTATCAATAACTTTAATTCTTTTGGACAAGTTTTTGGCAAATCGGGCCTTTTATCTCTTTTAATATTTTTTTGATAAGCATCATAACCAATTCCATTACCAAAAGGTTTTAATTCCGAAATAATCTCACTGCACAACATGCCAAAACTAAACACATCAGCTTTTAAAGCATCCACCTCTTGCAAGGATTCTCCTTTTTTTATCATGGCCTCAGGTGCTATATATCCAAAGGTTCCAAAAATACTTCCTCTTGTGCATACTTGTGGAATGTTTTTCACTTCAATCTTTGAAGAACCAAAATCAAGCAACTTCACATATACAAATTCTAAATCATCCACCTCTGGAATATCAATTGAATTTACAATAACATTATCAGATTTAAGATCACGATGTGCTACTTTCATATCATGCATATAGCACATTCCACTTGCAATTTGTAGTATAATATCTATTGCAATTTCATTTGAAAGTGAGCCTCTCTCTCTTATCATGTCGAATAAAGTCATCTTTCCACGTTCCATGACAATTTCAAGTTCTCTTCTTTTTTCAGATAAACCACAACAATAAAGCTTGATGATGTTTGGATGACTTAATCCACCCAAAATGCCAGCTTCTTTAATAATAGCTTCTTTAAGTTCTTTAGAATTATTAGAAATAGGAATAACTTTTGTTGCACTTTTCATACCCAACCATTTTGTTGGATACACAAATACCGATGTACTTCCATCCAATGGAACAGGTGGTCTTTGATATACAGGATAAGGATATTCATCAGGAAAAATAATGATGTCTAATTCTCCCCCTTCAACCTTTTGTATACCACTTATCCTTCCCATAAGATAATATGCAAGTTCACCATCTTTACTTGCACATGATGGTTGTTGTGCAATACCATCAAGCCTCTCATTCAATGCCTTCATATCTTGATCAACTTCATCAATGCATGTTGGAAAAAATGTGGTGCATCTTTTTATCTCAATAGTGTTTTCCCTTTGATCAAGGTAATAACATTGAGAGATACTACATATGGTATCAAAACAACACTCGAAATCCATAAGAAGTTCCCTAAAAGCTTCTTTATTATTAATTTGCATTACCGCACTCTTCAACCAATCCTCCTTGCAACACTCTTCAATCAAGTCTCTTGCTTTGCAAACAATTTTGAACAAATCTTTTTCTGCTCCATCAAACACATTTGAACAAGAATCACCAATGATGGTTTTAATTGTTTCAAGACCCCTTGAAAAATTGCTCAACAAATTTTTACATTGTCTTTCATTCAACACCCCTTCTCTCAATGATATTGAAGTCTTCATTATAATCTCCATTGATAATTGCAAAAAGGCCATTTTATAATACTATGGCAACCTCTGTTGCTTCAATTAAGGATTGAACTAATGTAAAGTGTAGAGTTTAGATAAAATGCATAATAATTCCTGTAATACCCACAAAACTTGTTTAAGACACTAAATAGCTTAAATCCTATATTATATTTATTTCTAGAAAAAATCTTAGCAAAAACCATCATAAATGCAATTATAATGTACCACGAATATGATAACATCCTAACAACACATTAGTATAATATACGAATAATCTATGCCTTCACTAAAAAAAACTCATAATACAACACAAGTTAATAAGCTAATGTAACTTACAATTATGACAAGTTCATTAACTCTCAATAAATAATATGATATATTATGTTTGATCACTCTTAACATCAAAAATTAATTATTAAATCATAGGCATAAAGTAGCTAAAATACCTTAAAAGCTTTGAAGAGTTACTCTAATGTAAATTTTATATGCAATTCCAATGCTGCCAAAAAAGTGTCCCAATTTGAGCTTTCAAAAAAGATGTATTCATCTTCAATTAATTTAGAATGCTTCAAGTTGTTGAAATTATACACCTATCATTCACAAAATTAAGCACCATTAATCAAGATTAAACCACCATCAATTTACTAGAATAAAAGGTATAATTTCCATAGAAATTTAGAGACATTAAAATAATCTTATTCTAAATTATCTTATAGTCTTAACTAATATCATGAAGTCTTTGTTACATAACTAAATAAAAAACAATGTCAAGCAAATAGCATGTTGCTTAACTATTAGCAAATTTAAATAACTCAAATTACAAACTATCATATTAATTGAGAACACTAACTACAAACTAATTATTATTATTTCAAATATCATCCTCTTCAATATTAATACAATTAATTAAGATTTAAAAATACATATGTTTATTAAGTTACAATACCAAATATTAATAGCAAAAATACAATTGATTCACTATCAATTCACAACATAATCTCCCAATCAAATCCATAACACCAACCTCCAATTCTCACTTATACCCTTAAAAGAGTTGTTTCTTTACAGCTTGTAGTTATCAAAACACTATAATGCAAAGTTGCATCAATTTACAATAAATGAAGTTAACAATACAAAGAAAATACAAAGAAAATACTCTTCGAATTATACGGTACATCGTAAAAGTTCTCTACGACATACGTGGTAAACAGAATATAGATTGTATCGTATTTTATATGGTACATGGTACATGTTCTACGGCATGCATGGTAAACTGATAATAGATTCTGTATCGTATTATATACAATACTCGCTGTTGTACAAAATCGTATTTGATATCCTCCATGTCTATGCACCTACCTAGAACCAAACTGGTTGACAACCTACGCGGGACTCTGTTCAGGTACATTGATGCGTACAGTATAAACTCATAATTGAAAAGTTTGTCAAGCAATTCCTCACCCATCATGTAAAAGCCACAAACGTGAAGGAAGTGATATGAGATGATCTACCTTCAAAGGTTCACCTTACACGGCGACATGGGTATAGTACCACCCCTGCTTGGACTACAAAACAAAGTATGATGTTATCACCACCACCGCTGTTGGCTCGCAGGTAGCATCACAATCGTCGACCTAACGGATAATCGTCCTGTTGCACTACCATAACATATCCGGAGCTACAGAGTCAGCCACTCCAACAAAGGACACGAGCAAAGACAACGGATCCACAACGCCAACTGCATGATCTCACAAGTCCAGCAAGTAAGGCGACAGAACTAACCACCAAAACTACTGAGAATCATGATAAATCTCACTTCAGTGACCGCCGTTACTAAAGGAAGGCAACCGACACAATCTAACTCTGACACATCAACGACGACCACACAAAGACATGAGAAGGGGCAAGAGACGGGCACATGAAGCGAACCTGCACGAAGGGGAGAGTGGAGCGATGCGAGTCGGGGCTGGTCCGGAGAAGCAGACGGCGAGCGAAGGGGCATGAGCAAGACGAGGTTGCTGTGCGGGGGAGACGAGAGAGTGAGGGTGGCGACACCGCTGGTGCTGCCTGCGGGTCCCAGTTACCGCGTCAACAGCCGAACCAACGCGGCTTCGCCACCCGCGGTCGCGTGGGAGTTTGCGAAATCGCGTCAGCACGGATGATTCCTCGTCATCTTCGTGTTGCCTCGGGATTCGTTCGGGATGTGGTTCAAACCAAGGCAATGCCTACTCCGAGCCTGCTCTTGCCATTTGGTGGGAGATGTGGGCGTCTTCCTTGCCTGTAAGCTCGTTGCCGAACCTCGCCTTGTGGAACTCGTGGTCGAGTCCTGGTGCTTATTTGGAAATCACTATTCTAATATCCTACCGTCCGGGTGTGTGATTAATCCTAGACTTCATTATGTTTGGGTTCTAATCTTGAAAAATGCATCCTGCCATTTGCTACTCGTTGTTATACTTGTTGTCATGCTTATTGTTAGATTGCATTGAACTAGTCATGCAATTGTTGAAATGGTGGATGGAGTGTGTTGATATGCATGTGTATGTTTTTGCTGTCTTTGCACATGATTTGTATTGAATTGTCTCCCCCAAGGACGAGAATTAATCCTATAAAAACAACGACCTTCAACAACAACCACAAAAATTAGAAAAATGAATTTTGTACAAAAGATTCAACTAAAAAACATTGATGTTTGAACTCAGAGGACAGCGAAGAAATAACAGCAACCTCCAACAACACGCGTTTGTGAGCCGTTCTGACGATCATGCAGTTCAGCAGTCCACACTATTTCTGTTGTGCAATTTCAATGTATATGTTCATATATATATATATATATATATATATAATGAAATTGCGATACCAATGTAAATAAGAAAAGAGGAAGCACAAGCAACAAACTGCGACAGTCGCATGCTTGACGGATTCCTCTTTGTTTCACCGGTGTTCATTAATAGACCTTACACCAGTACATATGATGTCAACTCTGTGCCAGAACGATACCAGGTACTGAAGGCTATAGATATAGCTGGTTAGGTTCAGTTGGATCTTAGGCGTAAGTCTTGCTCAAAGTGGCGAAGGAAACTTCTCGCCAACTGGATTGCGCTGACCGCGCTGCGAGTTGCGGTTGTTCGATCTCCGTCGCTGGCAAAGATTGTATACAGGTGGCATCATGTTCACAACGATGCCATCATTCTTTGCCTCCCCGGAGCAAGTGAAACAAGTGGCTAGAGTCTTTCATGCTTGGACTGCAGATTCTTCCACGTGCAGGTTTCCAATACAGCTTCGCATTAGTCTTCTACAGGAGATTTCAACAAATTTCGTACGCACATGCGAACCAAGATACCACAATACATAATAGAAGCTCTGTGCATACTGTCAACTTGGTAACATCTGCCAAATGAAATTGCTATCTGTTATAACAAAAACTATAGGAGCCACCTCCGTTCCTAAAACTACAAACCAAAATTAGATACTAATTACGATCAAGAGTTACTTTGATGACAATATCTCAAGAATTGCACAAGCATTGGTAGACTGTTTCAAAATCCGTTACTGAAGCTCCTTCCACGTTTTGTGATGATCCAGAGCTCCCCAGTATATTCCCTCACATTTGCCTCAACACACATTCTATCACTTTCGCTTAAGATCGACGTCACGACAAGATAGAATCTCAACGCTCAGGAAAGAGGACTGAGATCGAAGCCAACACGTTCTCCCCAGAACTAGGTCGTTCAGCTTAAATTGCATTTTGCACTTGTCCTTAAGGAGCAGGAACAGCAACCCTTAAAAAAATTAGATGGGATAAACTATGAGCTAAGTTAAAAATTTAATTTCAAAACTTAAAATTCTGTTTTCACAACTTCAATTCATTTTTTTGTAAGTATACTATTACAATTGATGTATCAATGATGTGAAATATGGTTTTGCATGTTGTGTAAAATATACAATATAAATTGATAATCAATGCAATAAAAGTACTTACTTGGATGGTTTAAGTATCCAAAATAAGCAATAAATAGAGTATTTTTTGAATTACAGATCTTTATAAATAGGGTAATTTCCAAGTATATCCCTGACAATTTCTTAAATTGCAAGTATACTCCTGACAAATTTTTAATTGCAAATATACCCCTGTCATATATTACATTCTCGTTGCGCTCTCTCGCCTGCCCCCCCCCCCCACACACACACACATCGCTGTAGTTAAAGCGACTCAAAATCTGTTGAATTGTTGCAAACGCCGAGAATGCAAAGAAATATATTCCTGCGCATTCACTGAAGGTGCAGATTGCAATCACGTCAGGGCATAGAAGATTCAGAAGACTCTCGGAACGGTCGTGTTATTGTCTTCAAGACAGCAGGTACTAGGAATTCAAAGAAATAAAGCATTTTTTCGCATAGAGATACCAAGCAATGGCGAAGCCGAAGAGCAATGCTCACACCAACATGGCAACAGCAGGGAGGGCTTCTAGAGCTTGCGATGGCTGCGGCTCTCAGGAACCACGATGGTATTATGAGGCTAACAATGTGTATCTTTGTAGCAGATGCGACTGGAGCGTGCACTCGGCTAATGCTCTCGCCTCGCGCCACGAGCATGTCCTTCTCAATTCCCAGGGCACCGTTTCTCGAGGACCGAAGAAAGCCCAACGGCAACGAAGCTCACAAGGCTCACCATCCTGGGTCAACGCACACCCACTTTCAGCCGTCACGGAAGCGCTCTCGTCTTTCCCAACGCCCAATCCTCACCTTCAAAACGCGGCCGACATTTCCAACCTAGAACATTGCCGCGGTAAGTTGAAATCCGAAAGCAGGAACCTGGGAGAATCCCACGAGGTGTCAAACTTCATCACCGTCAATATCCAGGAGTCTCCTCTCTCCTTTGCCCATGACAGTGCCATGGGGATATCCATGGCAGAGTTTTGCAAGGGAAGGGCAACTGCAGTTGCGGCCGTGTACATGGGCGTGGGGGACGCGTACGAGGAGCTCAGCAGTGGAGACTCCGGACCAGATTTTCTGGTGCCGAATGGCTACACGGAAGACTTAGTGAGTGCCACTGGAGCACCCACCGAGTACCACCGGAATGCAGGAAGTTTCTTAGACGCTGGCAATGGCGACGAGGACACGGACAACAGCCATGAGATGGCGTGTGTGGGAGATGGCTTGCAGCTTTGTAGGAGCGACGAGCGTTACAGAGGTTATCCCATGGGATTAGGGGATGGGGACGCCTTTGAAGTTAATTGTGAGAATACGTCTGGATTTGTTGATGAATGCTGCAAGGTAACCGGCGGTGGACTTGGCGATGGCATGGAATGCAGCCTTCAAGCTAAATTAACTTTAATGTTAGAGAGTAAAAATATTTAACATTCATATTAACATTAAAGTTATTAAAGCAATGTTAGAGAGTAAAAATGTTTTAAAATAAGCAAAAATAAAACTATCATCTGTTAAAACACAGAATAATGTGGTTTGTATAGTATGCTGTTACTTCTAAAATATTATAAATTTGATAATTTTACAAAAAAAATATGTTGAATTCTTCTTAATGCACACTGTTATTAAATAAATAAATAAAATTGAATCAAATTACTAATAGTCCATCAAATTAACAATTGCATCAAACAATATAATTATACTATATACAATAATTTGAAGGAATCAACATGAAAATATTAAAATAAAATTATTTATTAATTCTCAATTAAATATTTGAAATACTGATTCCTTCATACGGAAACAGACAACTCATTTTTTTTTACCACTAAGATATTAAAGATTGCCATTTCAATAAGATTTCCTACAATTCTGAGTTTAAGCAATTTTTTGTAACACTACGTTATATAACCTTATCTGGTAACATTTTTATTGGAAAGTCATACAATTTTTTTTTTCTTAATAGATTTTCCTAACAAACCAATTTTCATAATCAGAGCAACATTATGACCCAAATCTTCAAATATTCCACTGGAGGAAATGCCTCCCACTAATCCACAAAGTGCACAATAAATTTGGAGTTTGCGGATTTATATTCAAGCAACTCAGCAGAAGGAACATGATGGGATGTCGGCACAAAGATTCCTTGCTCCTCAAAACAGGCAAAGACATGTAGAAGTTAGACCAAAGAACGACTCAAGTGACTCAAATAGCTATTTCTCAGTATGTTATGGGTGATTTCATACTGCATCTGGTCTTCACGGACTTGCCTGTACAGAAACAACCCTCTTGTTTTATTTACTCAACTTCAACAATCCAACAGCTACGAGTTCTTTAAGTTGTGTTTAAGAAGCACGAGCACTTTGAAAATCAGGAGTGTAGGTCAGAAACGATTGAATCTAGGCTCCAAGTCTCAGGTTGATGTAAATTCCACTTTACTTCAGTAGAGAAGCGAGTCGCTTAGGTGTGCATTCGCCAAAAGAGCTTCAGAAACTAAGGGTGTATTCAGTAAGATGTTAGGAAGCGAGATGTACTCCAACTTTGTGTGTGATTTGATAAGCCACTCCGTAATTAGATTGGCACGTTACGCCACCACACTTGGAACCCTTGTTAACAACAATTGCATGATTGATGTTTCCGATGTACACAACCCTGCATCTTTTGCCTTGCAAAGAAATAAAAATACAATAAAATACAATTATATACACACCAAAGAAGCTTTGTATAACAGCAATAGTTCAAATCAATATAGAAAACCTGTGGAAGCAAAAATCTGAGGTCCTCTTAAATCTTGAAACACCAGGCTTAGGGCTCTTAAATGAAACAACACAGGAACATTTACAATGAACAGCTGCAGCAAAAGATTTATAAGTAGGTCTAAGCCCCTACACGGTTGATTTCACAGATAAAAACTTGAAAGGAGAGCTTGAAACTCTTAGCTAATTGGTAAGTTGAAAACTTAGCTAACAAATTAGCCATGTGTTGTATATATCGACCACTTAATTTATAAGTTGGCCACATGTCACGCATTTTGGCCACTTGTTCTACAAGTTGACCATAGGGCATACATGTTGGAAACTTGCCTTGCAAGTTAGACATGTATCCAGCAAATTGGGCATGTATCAAATGACATGTATAACATT